TTCAGTGGCAATTACCATGAATTTAGGGACCAGTAGTCATGGAAATGGCGTCATTTTCACTCAAAATCCGCCATGTTTTTGCGGACACTTCGTTGACTGAACGAAGTATAGGAGCAGGTCCTCCAGTAATATAGTATAGCTCAGTGGGATTATCCCTGTAATAAGTAACGATAAATTACAGTTAATATTCTTTTTTACTTTTTGTGCATTTTTTCCTTCTTTTATTTCAAATACAAGTATAGTATAGTTAGCATAAATTTTAGAGCAAATTTGGATGCTCAGAATTCAGTAAATGGCATTTAAGTGCTTCCAATTTAAAAAATTTTCTGGTCGGGGAGTACACCCCTGCACACGTGACCATTGCTGTCCTCCTCTAATAAGTAATGATAAATGATGGTTATTTTTTTTTACTTTTTGTGCATTTTTTCCTTTTAGGCCGTCGTCTGGGGCCCCAAAATATTTAGTTTCGTTGCACACCTCTTTAAACTAAAAAAAATTACATATTCTTATAGATTAAATGACGCTGAATCCAAATCTAAAAAGTTCTTGCGGGTTCACCCTGCAGTTTTTTTGTAAATGGCGATCAAAATCTTATAATTTACCAGTTTCGCAATAGCATTTTTACTGTATGCCATACCTGAAGATGCGAACTCTCGGAACCAGTCGCTCACGCGCCATAGTGAAATTATACAGGATAGGTCACTTCCGCCTACTTTTAAGGTATGTGAATTCAGATTTGATGTAAACAATGAGCGACACGATTTTCAAGGTTCATATTATTGCGACAAAGCGTATTTTCTGGCTTTGTACGAAGATATTTAGCAACATTAGGCATTATTTCAAGATGGTGAACTTATGTGTACATTATATAATCTTTATGGCGTGTAATAAAGGACGAAACAAACTTCAATTTTATATTTTAAAGACAGAATAATGGACATTGGATTATTGTATGGTAAGCCAAAAAACTATTATATGCTGTTATTAAACATATAAAATATGTATTTAAACAAATTATAGTAATTATAATCCCATTTAGTATAATTTCAGTGTTGAAAAATGGCCTTTGAGGACTGAATGGCTCCCTCAGCTCAGTAACTTGGGCAAAACTGCTCAGACTAGTAATTATATAACCCCATTTACAGTACTATAGTATAATTTCAGTGCTGAAAAATGGCCTTTGAGAATTCGGAATAGCTCCCTCAGCTCAGTATAAACTCTGAGGCAATACTGCTCAGACTGCTATGAGTAGTTTATTATATTCATAATGCATTAGTTGTATTTATAAATAAAACTTTTTTTTCAATACTGAAATTATACCATTTACAATTAGTTACATCAGGCTTGGTGATTACAAGTCTACTGTATAATCATTTCACCTTTGGATCAGTGAATATAGGTTTGTAATCACCTCGCCTTGGGCGACTAATTTCTAATTAATTAACACCACATTAGCTTTCTTTTCCTGTAATATAAAACTACATAAAGTCATCATCGTCATCACAATCCTCTTCATCACAGTCATTGTCAATCAGCTCTTCTTCATCAATCTCACTGTTCTCACAATTGCTGCATTGGCAAAGTTCAGTGCACTTCAAATTTCCTTTAGAACACGAGCATCTTTTTGTTTGACAACCCTTTTTGCATTTGCAGCTTACAAATTCTAAGATGCTGTCCGGAGCAGGCCCTTGGGTCCCCCATGTGATTTCCAATGTATCTCCTGTTAGGCTCCAACCATAACCTACAGGTATCCAAGATGGGAATGGTGGAATTTTTACGTGTATAACTTTCAAAGTTCACTCTTAAAATGTGTTGATATAAACTATCATAATTAGGAGGCAGCGAGTCCTCTGTGCACTTCCCAAGTTTAAACATCCTGTAACGGGCATTATTGATATTTGTGGCATTTTCCTGTCCATAAAGACAGCAAACATATCGCTCCAGGAGGGTGATGACACTCTCTGGAAGGTGTAAATCATCTCCAAGTGCCTCAAATGCATTGCAGAATTCATCCTTGCTTCTTGCAACTTTAAGTCCTGTTGTCTTGCCTTTTCCAAAAAAAGCACTTGTTGAGTCAGACCCTACATAAAAAATTGGGTATTGTAACTCATTAACCCATTGAGTCGCATTGCACCCTGATTATTTATTATTTTAATCTGTCTAACGCCAGATGATTTCACTCGTCAAGGGGAGAGCGCTATGGGCAAAAACTTAATTGGCAGTGTCATACCACAAGCTGGTAAAATCATCTAGCGATAGACAGAGTAAACTAGCAAAGGGCATGTAAGGTGAATCCGGATACAACAGACTGTTATAAATTGCAAATTAATCTCACCTGTGAAAATATGGAAACCAATAATTGCTCTGCACCATCTAGGTCCAAAAAAGCGGGCAACCTCACTGATATCAATTCTTCTCCGATTATTTGCAGTTCCTGTGTCAAATACGAGTCGGGCAGGAATGGTTGCTTGACATGCAAGTGCAATGACAAACACATCCGTATCTGGGCTCTTGATCACAACAACATCGGATGCTGCTGCGGCGTGCTGTGCATGGACCATTGGACGAACATCTTTGTATCTGCCTCCTCATGATCACATTCCAATTCAGGAACCTCTTCAACAGTAACAGCATCAGCATTTGGGTAATAGTGGTAACATTTCTCTTTATTTGTTACAAACAATTGCGTCGACTGCAGTGCTGAACATCGAACATTTCTCCACTGTTGGACCAGGAATTCAACAAGCCGTTCCTTATTACTTCCCACACTCATGAATTTTTTCCACTGCTTTGGAACTTTTTGTTGATCACTGAGTATTGAGACAGCATATATGCCCGATGCCGCTCTATGTAACCTTTCAGCATTTTTGGTATTCACTGTGGGATACCTGTCTGTCACAAAGTCTACACGTTGTGATTTATTGTACACTGCAATGTCAATAACATTCTTCAAAATTACATCAGCCAACTGACCAAATGTCTCTGGGATATTTCTTGCTTTCAGCATTTGCAGTAAGGCCATTCCATCAACAATAGTGGCACTATTTGATGGAATCTGTTCAATAAGTGGCATCTCAGCTTCTTGTTCCAGCACATGAAGTAATTTAGACTTCACTGTCTTAACAAGACAACCGGAGTCTGTAGCCAATGCTCTTGGATATGGTCTCAGGGAATATGTGAAAACATGCTCAAGATTAATATCCCGATTTCTTGCTATCACCAGAAGCCTTGCCCAGAAGCGACAATCATTCTTCACCGTAACTACAGAGCCAGAAGATGTTCGGGTTGTTGTTGATTTTGCCATAGTACTGAAAGATTTCAGTTTCATTTTCTCAATCTTGCTAAATATATCTGGTTCTTCGCATAGTAATCTGGTCTCAAAATACTGCTCAAGCCTTTCATCCCCTTTCACATATGCATTCTGCAGGTCCTTTGTTGTTTCTTCATCTGCAACAACACCACTACATATGTTGACCAGTTCTGTCGGGCTTTCTGGGCTGAATGGGTTCGACATGGAAGTTACTGTTTCCATAATCTGTTTCACAGCTTGCTCATGCTTATCCCAGTTGGTTTTATCCAGATCTTTCCGCTTTCTAAATGAGAACAAACAGTAGCATTCAGTTCAGTTCATCAGGAAAAATCAAGCATACATGTACTCTATTGTATTCATAGTAAAATTTAGTTCTGTCATTACCTTTGCTCCTCTGCTACACCAGCCATCAACTGACACTTTCTGGTTATCGCACTTCTGTCAGCCTGAGCAAGAATCCACCGATTTATTGCACCTCTATTCTGAGTCAATCCCACAATACCGCCCTTGGTTTTAGAATCCCGGTTGCAAGTTTGTTCAATAGTTTGGTCACAGGCGATTGATGAAAATCCGTATTTTTGTTGCCTTTGAACAGTCCATTGCAAATCCATTTCTGTTGAAGCTCCTGGAAAGAACCAACGACACATATGTTATAGGAAATTGAGAATGTGTGTGTCTATTATATATATATATATATATATATATATATATATATATATATATATATATATATATATATATATATATATATATATATATATATATATATATATATATATATATATATATATATATATATATATATATATATATATATATAGGTCCATTGTACATTTGACTATTCTGTGTCAACCTTAATTAAATTAAATAGCCAAATAGAAACAGTATTTAATTAAATATTCATCTGTCAAGGTTTTGAGTAGATATGTTAACAAATATTTAAATATTTGAAGAATCATACTTGTACAGTATACAGCCGATTAAATTAAGGTTGTCATTCCAAAACCTTAAACTTTAAACTCTGAACACGTAAGGGATGATGGGTTTTCACCTATTAGGCCCTTAAACTCAGAAAATTGCCTTTGCAGCAAGTGTACGCTTTCTATATGGTTTGGGTATTCTTGCAAAGCCAAATTTCAAAGTTTATGAGTCTAAATAAGCAATAACCTTGATCATCCCTTGTGCCCTCTGAGTTTAAGGTTTTGAAAGGACAGCATAATTAATAAATTGAGTTAGCTGTTATAATTTCCTTACCGGGGTGTGTCTCATCCAAACAAACCATTTCAAGCCAGTATGCAGGCATATAGCGAGCATAATTTATGCGGTCATAGGCAAAGTACCAAGGAAGCATTGCTCTCACTGCTGATAGGTGAAGCATCCAATTTGTTGTTCTTGTTGCTCTGATAAACGTTAGCAGCAGCTGAACCATGTCAATGTAGGAAGACCAAAACTCAAACGTTGCACTTCTTTTCTTCTCCTCTTCAACAAACATCTGGAACTTAAAAACATTTTGTCATAAATTAGATGATTATGTTTCCAACAACGTACATCATAAAACCAGTTATAAGGTCACATAATTGGCACCAAACACATAATTGCTCTTCTGCCCCTTAGCAAAGGCATATCACAAATGTTTTGTGTAATATTGAACATTTTTAACCCTTTAAGTAGCAATGTGCCCAGATGCGTCCTACCTTATTATTTTACTCTGTCTAATGCCAGACAATTTTATTTGTCATGGGGGAAACTGCGGCCACTCAATGGGTTAAACTAAGGAATATTACATTTAGTTTATCTCAACATTGCAGTGCCAAACAAAAACTTCAACATTTCAAGCGAACGCCCTCTAATTCGCTCAAAATGTCAATGAAAGGTTTCCTTGTATTTTTCAAATAAATTACACAACAGCAGAATAAATTAGTCAAAACTTATCTTTTTGCTATGTCATTTAGGGTAGCATTCTCTCCATAACTTTCGATGCTCTCTTTGTCCAAGTTGCCATGTATCTCCTTAGCTAGGCCAATGATTTCTCCCTTTTGCTCTGTTGATTGAGTATCAAGAAAAGCTTCAAAACGTAGCCTTTCCATGGCTTCAAACACCAACTTGTGAGCCCGTATGCAGCGGTTGTAGTGCTTACCACTGAAGACTCCATTCAGAGATCCTTGAGCAACAGTTTCGGATTCAACTAGAATGTCCTGCAAATCGGGTTTAAAAGGAGGAACAAATCACTGACAATTCTATAAACTCATTTACTATATTTACTATACCACATTGGACATAGGGAGTGTGTTCACTTGATATCATATTAGGAAGAATTGGTCTCTAGTGAATGACAATTCTATTGAGAACATTTCTTAACATTTACCTAGTTAACATACTATTTGTACATGTACATATTGTTTAATAAAGTGCGACTAACCCCAAATATGATTTTTTGTATGTGTGATATTTGGGTCATTGCAATCTTGATCAACTTTTTCACTGTCAAAGTTTCCGGATATGATGTCATTAGGTGAATTGCAAATTAGTTTTCCTTTGTTTTTTGTACCAAAATTTCACCAAATGACATCATATCCAGAGACTTTGACAGTGAAAAAGTTGATCAAGATGAGGTTTTTTACTATAAAGATACATTACATTTCTTGTGAATGATCCAAATATTACCCATACCAAAAATCATATTCGGGGTTAGTCACACTTCAAAAATACAAAAACATATATAAATTCTAACCTGCAAACCAGCATCACGGAATCGACATGATATTGCTGTAGCATTTGACATACAGGCATGAAATTCCCCAAGGCGAAAAATGAACTTAGTGAGAAACTCATCGCATTTCCATCGTACTTGCTGTGCCTTCGCATATACAGCTTCATCAAAGATTAATACTGCATAATGCAGTTCCAACTTATTCGCAATGTCGGCACTCCGCCTCAAGATTGTGTATATTGTTGAGATATCTGTCACTGGTGCATCAACAACAGGAAGATAACCAACCTTTGAAATGCTATCAGGCTTTTCACTAATCATTGTGTTAAACCCTGTCCAGCCAGGAAGAAATGTATTTAGTTCATCACACAAGTACTTACAGATTGTGTATATAAAGTCCAACATCAGACTTGGATCCAGTGATGGCTTATGTGTCACTAAACTTATTTCAATGCCACCGTTTGTCACAGCCGTGTGCAGTTTTGGTGATTCTTTGTTTCCTAGAATGTAGGTGCATAATTGCTTTTCAGGAGCTTTTAATGAGCGCAATGACTTTTTAATAGTAGTAGAACTGGTCTTGCGGTGTGTTGGAAGTTGCTCATCATCTCTTGTTTGCTGAATGATAATACCATTAGCCATGTGTGTTGAACCAGCACCGGTTGGTGTTTCTTCCAGGAAATCTATGTTATCCCAAACCATCATGGTGAATTTCGTTGGAATTATCCCTTCTGGTATGACAACATCATTGTCTAGACATTGGGAAGCAAGAGCTGTATCAAAGGACAGGACTGCTGGATGGGACACAGAATTTTCAAAACCATTAAGGATCTTTGTAAGTGCATAAGATCCTGTAATTTGCCTGACTGCCATGCCCAAAGATAGAGATTTTGGAGTCTGTTTCCTGCCATTTGAGCTTACATAAATTATATCTTGGGCAAGAGAAAGAACTTTCAAATATTCATTCGCTGTAATATTTAGGTGTGATCTCATACTAACTGTGGATGAAAACCCAAGTAACCAAGAAAGGAACACCGATAGACTAGGGGGAACCATTTTCTCTGCATTTGTTGTGGTAAATTCAGATGGTGTAGGGGGCCAACTTTGGTAAAAATTTTGACATTCTTTGATTTTACCATGAAGAATCATAGCAGCATGAAACAACGTTCTCATTTCTTCTTCCTCATTGCTTCCAGACTTTTGGGTTGACGTACTAGGAGTTTCTGTCTCGATCTCTTCCTGACTACCATTTTCAGTGTCAGAACTGTCACACATTGAGATGTTTTCTGCCGCAATCACACCCTTACTCAGATCCTCACTGAAAACCAACTCACTCATGTTCCTCTTACTAGGTTTATGGAAAACTAACTGCGGGTATGTAAGCTTCAATCTATTTTTCAAACGAAATGCTCGATAATTTGAAGCATCTAATCCTTCCGTATCTTTAACAGCTTTAACAAAATAGTCAAACAGTTTTCTCATGAGCATTACTTCTTTATTTACAATGATCCTTTTCTCTAAAACTTGTTTACAGAAGTGCTGGTATGACTCCTTGTAAAGTCTTTCTTCTTTATCCTCTACTGGTTCATAGTGCAGGAAATTTGTGTAGCTTGCATAACATTTTTTATGGTAGCATGCTTCAACTGCAACACAATCTTTGTCTCGAATGTGTAACAGGATAGACTCATCCTTTGTCTGTTCTGCAGCCTTTCGTAACTTTCCAGCATCAAAGGTTTGGCTTTGGGTGAGCTTTTGTATCGTTCTTTTCTTGGTTTTCTGAAAACAAATATTGGCTTCAATAATCTAGTTTGATATTGACTGTGCATTTATACTATATCATTAAACATAGCAGTATTTACATGCCACTGGGTAAATATTAATAGTAGTTTGATAAAATATTATTGTTTCATACTTTTGACAAAAAAGTGAAGTAATTTTAGCTTTTGACTTACGGGACAAGTGTATGTGAGCTCTGCCTTTTTGCAAATAAGGCATATTCTTGGGAGAACAGGCGTTGATCTCGACCCAGTCGCAGTTGAACCATGTGGTTGAAGTCTATTTCGTGTTTGTCGGGTTTCTTCCGCTCTGGTTTTTTTAGCTGCAGGTTCTATATCTTTACTCGTACAGGGTGTATCTGACGTTTCACTCATTCGCTGTGCTCTATTAATTCTTGTTTTATCAGTAAACTTTCGATAACATTCGATATGATATTGCAAGCTTCTGTCTGGAACTGTTCCTTCGTTGATGAATGCCTGTTCATCGTGATCAGAGAAATACTCTAAAGACTTTACAGCTACGTCAGTCAAATTTCCATTCAAAGATAGCCATATTTTCCGGCTACTCAAAAATTTTGATAGTGTTACAGCAGTAAAATCTTTTACAGGTGAAACATTATTCGAAATCTCGCATGTATGAATTATACATGAGCAAATATCTTCCTCCATATTTACATGTGACTTACTCTGCTGTTTACCACATATCTCAAAAGTAGGCGGAAGTGACCTATTTGTATAATTTCACTATGGCGCGTGAGCGACTGGTTCCGAGAGTTCGCATCTTGAGGTATGGCATACAGTAAAAATGCTATTGCGAAACTGGTAAATTTTAAGATTTTGATCGCCATTTACAAAAAAACTGCAGGGTGAACCCGCAAGAACTTTTTAGATTTGGATTCAGCGTCATTTAATCTATAAGAATATGTAATTTTTTTTTAGTTTAAAGAGGTGTGCAACGAAAATCGTTTTCTAGCCATCTTTTGGGGCCCCAGACGACGGCCTAGACCTAGTAGAATCGCTAATTGAACTATTAACTGTTGCAGATATACAGTTTTATGCAGATATTTTAATTAATTAATTTTTTAATGTATAGAGCTTAAAAACCTAAACTCGTTAATTCAGCTTGTAAATATTTATAAACTGCAAAAGAGTTCATTAAACCTACATTATTATAATAAATAGCAGCTTTTATACTTCATCCCATCGCGTTTACTTTTATTAAAAGCAGTTAAACAACCTGATAATATGTCACTCGCGCTATATTAAATTTATATAGTCTTTTCCGAGTTTGTTTGTCTGAGTTCTTGTTATTTGATACACGTGGAATGCCACGTGTTTTGAGAGTCGGAAGGTGGATTAAGGCTGTCCACGAGTAAAGCGGAAAAGTCGAATGCGAGCGCGAAAGGCTGCTGGGGATTCGCTATGAAAATTCATTAATGTTTTAGGGTTGCAGCCTTTCGTGCTAATGTTCGACTTTTCCGCTTTGCTCGTGGACAACCCTAATTGAAAGAGCCGTACAATTGTAATGCCAATTATTCACCGATGTTGAGGTGAATAATGCAAGGATATGTACCTAAACGCGAAGCGTTGAAGTGTCACTGAGGTGAATAATTGTTTTAGCATATATAATAACAAAACAAAAAATGACCAAAAACAACGAAAATATTTTTTTTCTTTGCAGCTTCCATAATATTTGTATAAACAAACAAAACATACTAATTATACAAGATTCGTTCACCCATATAATGCCATTCAATAATGACATGTATTAACCATATACATATGATTGAAAAAATACAAAACAATAGATACTCCGAAAATTGAAAGCATTTTGAAAAATTTTTCAAAATGCTTTCAATTTTCGGAGTATCTATTGTTTTGTATTTTTTCAAAATACTCAGTGGTTCCCGTAATATATGATGCTTACTGTAGTAAATTTCTTTAAATCTTGAATTAGATTTAGATTTTTTCCGTTTATGATAGTATTACACTTTTATTACAGGTGACAATGATGAAATTAACGGAACTCTGTTCGTAGCAGTCATTGTTCCGGTTACACTGTGTGTTCCACTTGCTTGTATTTTAATTGCGATTGTTGCATTTAGGTAAGTCCTATACACTGGTACTAAACGAAAAATTCAGGGACTGCGGAACAAGGGCATATCCCGTAGTATCCTGCCCCCACCCCCACAACCCTCCATACGTTTAAACATGCCCCTCGGAACCTGCAACTATAATCTTGCAAGAGTAGTGCCCTCCTGCAGGATTTTACGTTTGGGATGGCAACTTAATGAGTCACAATGCACCATTTGCATAATAGACTAAATTTTGATCTAGACAAGTCTAGACAAAAATTTCATCACTGCTGAAAAGAGCATCACAAAATTAGTAATATTCCACAGTGTCGCTGCGAAATTTTGTAAAATGCGGATAATATAGCCTTGCGAAGTTTGCCGTTTTTCAGTCATTTTTTATTACGCACGGGAAATTGACAGCCCAATCGGGTGTTGGGGCATCAATTTCCCGTTTGTAATACAAAATGACTGAAAATTGCATATTTGGCAAGGCTATATTTTCCGCATTTTACAACATTTCCCAACCAAAACTTTGGAATATTACTAATTTTGTGATGCTCTTCAAGCTGTGATGAAAGTTTGGTCTAAACCATAATTTAGTCTATAATGCAAATGGTCCATTCTAGAGGGGTTTGTAGTTACGTTCCTGAAAAGAATTGAACTTTGAGTCTCTGAAACAGAATTTCCTGCATTATCGAGACAGTTAAAAATGTAAATGTCTTGAAGTGCCTATATCACTTGCGGGATCTTTTTTAAAGTGCCTATATACCTATATCACTTGTGGGATATTTGAAAAGAGCATAAAAAGTTGTTTAATTAATAATAAGTTCTAAAATCTTTTTCAATTTTGTTTAGTATTCTCAATATGTTGACCCTAAAACATGACAATTTTCAAAAAAATCCGTCGTGCTTGGGGGCCTGAGACTCAGGAACGCGAGCGTAAATAAACACTAAGAATTGTGTGATATGTTGACGCTATCACTTACTGAAGTGAGACTTTTTGCTAGAAAAGTTTGTTTATTAAGCTTAAAGTCGTTCTCTGCTACTGATAAAAGTTTCTACAACTGCGCTGAATATAGAATTGAAGGTGAAACGTACAAAATCAAATTTGTAAGTGCCCCTTCGTAGATGACGTCTAGCTTCATTAGCCATGAGAAACTTCAGTTGACATTTAGAGCTACACTGACAAAGGTGCATGGGTCAAAGAATACGTATAAAAGTTAGAAGAATAAAAGAAGAAGTAAGGAAATTCTTTTTCACATGAAACGAACCTTACAGCATATCGTAATAATTCTTTTTTATTATACATTTAATATGTATTCTCGTTTCTAATTGGTCAGAAAGCACCAGCTAATTTTCAGTATTCGGCATTTATTACGTATTTTCCGCCGATGACGTCATCAGCGTCCAATAATTGTTTTTTTGGATCGAACTTGCATCAAAAAAAAAAATATTGGACTCTCTCGTGCCCAAACCTGGCCCAAACCCTTGCGCGGCCAAAAGCTTGAACCTATAAGCGCGCGAAAAAAAAAAACAAACAATGGCCTACAGCAGATTTGCTTCGCTGAATGAAAGTGAACTCTCCAAATTATTGGCAGATAAGGATAGTGAAAGCACGAAAAAAGCCACAAAGGGGTAAATAGAAGTAGAAATAGAATATTTAGCTGACCTTTGATTTTGTGCAAGGTGTTTGATATTCAAATTGTACTTTTCCTACCTCATGAACAGGAATCGTTTTATACGTTTCTCATGTCTTTAAATGTATAATAAAACAATTATTGGATTCGGCTTTCGCATGATATCAAGAATTATTCAGACCTCGGTCTATGTTATCCGCCTCAGCTTCGCTTCGGCAGAAAACATTGACCTCGGTCTGAATAATTCTAGATATCATGCTCAGCCTCATCCAATAATTGCTTAGTATTATTAATTAAAGTGTCTAATTAAAATATTTTCTGTATAGGCCAAATGCCATGCGACGACCACACAGTATTTGCCATATTTTGGGTTCTTTTTGAGTAATTATGTTTTACAGGTTGAATTGTTGAGATATCAAAATTAAGTAAGGGAGGAGCTGTTTCGATTCTATTTCGTACTGTTGAGACTCACAACACATTTCATGATTCAATGATTGTATTAGTTTTACTGCTGCAGTAGACCAATATATAAATACTTGGATCGGATTGAATTAGCTTTGCTGTTAAATTAATGGCAAGGCCCCGATATTCAAACCCTTGCCAAACTAATTCGCTAGAAGGCCAAAAGGGCCTTTGTCTTAGAAATCTTTAAACTAAATAAGAAAAGGTTGAATTAGAATTTATTAACTAACATTTTGTACTCTCTCCAAATTCGTAAAGATTCCACAAGTGATATAATCACTTTGATAAATCACCTTTAACATTGCTAATATTGAAAACATAATCAATATATAGTTAATTCAATAAGAGACATAATCACATGAAGCTTTATCGATACAAAACGATACGAAACTCTGTCTATTAGATGACAATTTTTCACCCTCCTCCCTACTTAATGGCATTTGAAAGAATCTAAAACCACTGAAAACATTGTGATGCTAAAACGGCGCCATTCCTTAGAGCGAAAGGATAAAATCATGTGCGAGATTGTTACAGGACATCACACAAACGAATTTCAAACGAATTGTGCTTCCTTTGCCTACTGTTTCGCTACTAAGCTGTAACTGTAATTTTATTTTTAGAGTTTTTAAACGACGACAAGAGGAGACAATGCCACATTTACATGAATTATTTTAATTATACATACGAACTTGACCTACAAAGTTGACCTGCCAGGGGTTGCACGTACACTGGAAACCTTTCCCAGAAATAAACAGCAAGCTAGCATAATACGCAGGGTGTATAAACAACGGAGCCCTCGATTAAAAGGTGAATTTCAAAAAGAGTAGCAAGCTAGCGCTTAGAAAACGCTAAACTTTATGCTTAGTTTCACTTTAAAGCTTGTTCATTCAACTTTTCAACGGTAGGCGCCTACTACTACTCAAATTTAAGCGATTGTTTCGCAAAGAATATCATTCAATCTGGCTCAGGTTGGAGAATCAAAAAATGCTCATACGTTATGCAACACCAAGCTCTCGATAGTCGATGCTAACTTGTTTTGTTAACAAAAACAAATGTCTAATAGAATTGCGAGCAATTTGAGGTGTTTATTAGCAATCTCATTGCGAGTAATTTGAGATGTGTATTTTTAAAATAATATTATGTTAAGAAGAACAGCAGCAAAATTGCTATAAACAAAAGCTTAACGTAACTACCAAATGTGTTTAGTCATCACGAATCTGAAATTATTTGCCGTTTACAATTACAGCGCTAAACTCATGCAAATCCTTCAATAAAGGCAAATAAATCTATTTGAAGGTTATCACATAATAATAATTTTATTAAATAGTTTGACATATAATCATGCCGAGCATTCGAAATTCGTAAAATATTCGGCCGGGTTATTTGTCAAACCATTCAATAAAATATATGTATTCAGAAAATTATTGAACATAAAATATGGACTCTGGTTTTATACACCCTGTATGCGCTAGGAATTACTGTTGACTTGCACTAT